ATTATTATCATTTTATTTCAATTATTAAACTGTTTTTGTCTCAACCCACAAGTTTTTCTCACTTGTGCTCTTCCACTTCTCTCCCCCATCCCACCGGGTGGGGGGGAGTGAGCGAGTGGCTGCGTGGTGCTCAGTTGCCAGCTGAGGTTAAACCACAACAAGCACCCAGAGCCTCACTGGCCAGTGCTATCGCCTGTACTCTGAAGGTGATTAGAAATGAGATTTGATGGTGTCTAATAGGCCCACTCAGACAAATCAGGGACACTTTTGAAAGAAAGGCTGTGGAATAATCCTGCTCCAGCTTTAAAGAGATTCTTGGACATTTTAAACTGGCTTTTATCTGTTACTCCACCAAGTGTTCAGTGATATAAATATTTCCTGCCAAATGTGTGGTGTTTTTTGAAGCTCAAGGGTAGACATCAGGTAGAGCTGAAACAGTTACAAGTCAGATATTTTTGTACTTAATTGTACTGAATAGTTACAGGTAAGTCAACAAGTGCTTTCATACAGTGAACATAAAGCTACTTTTGCTTACAAAGGAAACTGCTGAAATAAAAATATTTGCTGAACCACAACAGAATAGATGTGTGTTTTTTTTTTTTTTTACTTTTGAACACATGCCAATAAATGGGAATTGGATTTTATCAAGCATCAGCATAGTTTCTTGTGTCACAAACCAAAGCTGTTTAGAAGCACAAGTTACATTTTCACATCCCTTTAAAAGAAACCTCATTCCTGTGTAAACTAGCTCACGTCATTTCCAAGCAAATCCCTTGCCTCTGGTTTATCATCAGCAAGACTTTAAAGTTGAAAATTTAAAAAAAACCACCAAACAAAACCAAATGAAACCAGAGGTCTGTAACTTAAAGCACAGATATGCCTGTTCACTTAATCTGACTGGCTGATAACATTTATCACATATGGTAGCTTTTTTTTCTTTCTTATGCTTCCAGAGCAAGGAGATAACTTTGTAAAACTATTTCCAAGGATGTGTAATAACAAAGGAGATTTGCATTTTGCTAGTGTTAGTGCAAATCAGGAGCCATTCTCTTGGAATTGATGGAGTCGCATAGACATAAGGAAAAGAACTGGATTATAATTTCCAGTGAGCACTTCACTTGAGTTTCCATGAACATGTCTTTTCTCATTTTCCTCACGTTATATCTGATGCATTATAGCAGTCAGTGACAGACTTAACGTTGTCCAGATTTTTATCTCATAAACAAAACTTAATAAAAAACCACAGAGCAAATTTGAAGGCTAAGATTTATGTCGTATTATGTGATGTACAGTGATTGCATGTTGCTGACCTTGGCCTTTCTATTAACTTCCACACAGAAGATTGCTTGCAACAGAGCAAAATAAAAATCGTGTGGTCTGATGCAATTTTCCCTCATCCACAGTTCTTCAGCTGTGGTGGAGACAAGTGTGGGAGGCAGGTCCAATAAAAGCACTGCTAGCAAGAGACTGTATTAAAGACTTGAACATTCGGATTACGAGCCCATATATGTATAAACACACACACATATTCCCTCTTAATGTCTCTGCCATTCATGGCAATGCAGCCAAACCAGCTGTGCTGCCAGCTGTGCTTTCAAAAGTAGTGCCCTTTGATGCTATGGCTTCCTGCAGCACTGAAAAGCCCAGTTGAGTTCACAAAGGGAAAGATTCCCTTCATTCCCTAGAAAACAGTCTGCCATTAACTTCCCCAGGTTCCTCTCATTTACTACAAAATGGAGATGGAATGATGACTGGTTTTTACCCCTGCTTGTTCAACTCTGGAGACTTAAATTTTCTTGTAGCTGTTCAGATTTCAAACTACGATATTTTTTGCAATTTAGCCTTATGTGCTACCTCTGCTAGGAACTTCAAAGTTCTTTGCTGCTTTTTTCTGATTTTTTTTTAAAGTTTTGGCAACAGTACCGTGCATATTTCTTTAGGTCTGCTGTTGAAAAACCTGGAGATCATAGATCAAGTTGTAAAGGCTGTTTGACACATATTTTGATATCTGCCCTGTTTTTCTTTTTAGTTTTATTAATATAGCCATTTCCTTTTTAAATAGGAATGAGCACTCATCAGTGGGTATTTATTATGCTATTTACAGCGATTACCAAGTTCATTTTGACTAAAGAAATGCAAACCTTAAAAGAATATCTTTGGGTAATAGTTTATACTGAATATCACCTGACTTTTTTTTTAATTTGCCCACAGTAAAACAGTGCAAAATTAAGCATATAAAGCTAAGCTAGATAATTGGAAACAAGATTGAAACCGGGGATGCAGGATAAGTTTACTGCAGTGGTATAGCTCTGCATATCAGAAAAGAAAATGTAGATGAAATACAATCTAAGTATAGTTTCCAATCATATGGATAACGTATTAGTTACAGGTAAATGAAGCTTGAAAGAAAGAGAGCTTCCTTTGACACCATGTACTCATTCCACATATTGTTTTGATTTTAGAAGTTAAAAGTATAGAACTAAAATATTGGACCATGTATATTCTGTATATTCTGAAAGCTTTACTATAAACTTTCTCATTTGCAAAAGAATGCACCCAACGTTTCATAATGATGAATACATAGTTGTGACTCTGTTTCCAGTATCTCTGTATCTTGGGCAAATAAATCAGTTTACAACATGCCTGACTAATAATTAACGCATACAGAGCCTTCCTAGAAAACCATAGTCTGCAGCTTTCTGTTTAGATTTCTTTCTGAATACTAACTAAAGGTATTACATCTACAGTAAATGGACATTTACCGATAAAGTGAAGCACAGAGAGCCTTAAAAAAGGCTGCTAGAGGCAGAAGAATGTGGCTTAAAAGTCAGATTTTGCTCTTATATTGCATTGCAAGTGAAGTTTGGATGGCAAAGCAGCTTGACTCTAGAAGAAATATCCCCCGAGGACTTTACTCTGTTGAAGACGGTGGTTCTGCAAAGTGGAACAGGCTAAAAAGGAGTTTGTATCAGGGAAGGTCCTGCAGGATACGAGGCTGCTGCACAGGAAGAGATGATGACTGCAGCTTTAACATCGTCTCCAAAGCAGCTATATGTTACTGTGACCAGTTCTGTGCCTCAGGTTCTCCTGGCCCTGTAGACTGTTGTGCTGACTACTGGGAAGTCTGTGACAACCCTGTTGAGCCCACCAGGTCAGATGAGCCTTGGCCACCTCCAACATCGGGTACGTATAGAGAAAATGCTCAGTTGGCATCACAATAAAAATATACTTGGAAGCAAAATTACTGATTAATTAGTATATATAGTGTATACATCCTAAAAATGTGATTAAGACATAGTGGACAAAGACACTGAGTATGAAACTGGAGTAAGAATTATGCTCGCTGTTATTTTTTTGTCTGTAGGGACAGATTTTTTTCAGCATTGGTTAGATCATATTTCTGTTGGACAAAAACTCTGTTTTACCTGCAACTTCTCAGAGATAACCTCATTGGATCAAAATTAGTGTGATCTCATCAACTTCAATAGATCTTCACAGATCAACATAAGATGAACAGCAACCTCTAAATTTTTGTATCCATCAGCACTAACAAATCATCAAGAAAATTGAGCATTATCCTGAATGATACTGTTATGAAGTATTCTGCAATGGTTTTGATCTAGCATAGCTTTCCTGTGGGACACCATTTTTCCTGCAACAGCTCAGGTGCCGAAGTAGGTGAAGGAATGTGGTTAGAACAAGGATTTCTGGCATATTTTATTTTCTTACAAGTTAGTTTGTAGTGGAAGTTCCTCCAGGACTAATCTAAACTCAGTCTATTTTTTTAGAACTAGAGATTGCAAAGAAAGGATCTACAAACAGCTGGTCCTCCCTTGGTTCCTGCATGGGCCAAATCTCTCCTGGTGAGAAAAGTTTAGAACAGTGGATTTTAAGACTATGTACCTTCTTACTGTTGGTAGACCAAATCTGGCTGAAAATGTGGAGACTGTACCAAACTTTCAAAAGCCTAAAATCAACAAAAATGCCGCCACAACTTTTTAAAACTAACTGTTTCTTTGCAATAACCCTGCTGCTTGCATTCCAGCACTCAGACCGCAAGCTCTTTAGGAGGCTATGCTCTTAAGCCAGGCATGCAGCCAAAATCTGATAAGTAGGAGTGCCAGAAATGCTGTAAAACAAATTTGATTTTCCAAAGTGTTTCTAATCATCTAAAAGAATGTTCTATGTTTTATGTAAATAAAGACATTTGTTTCATATTTATTTGGTGCAGTGGTGTATATTATTTTCAACAGATCAGGGGGTTGTTGTCGTAAGCTCTACATAAACATTTAGCAATGTTTCCGCTCCAGAGCTGACAGCCTGCAGGCCTAGTTTGGCAAACTGTTTCATGGAAACGAATGTCTACAAAACCTGCAGCAGTTTGCCAGGTGGGTCCTGCCATAGGTCTACCTCTAAGAGGTAAAAGTGTAACAGAAGGTTTAGATAAGGGAATAGGTGAGGGGTAATATTTTTACTGCCTTTCTTAATTCAATTTTTTGCTTGTGTGTTCACTGTTTTGTAACTCCTGGACTGTACATGCCTGCCAGAGGTAGCAATTATATTTAGTCTATTCAAGCACCTGTATTTGTCCTATAGGTGAGCTTGTATCTTTTTTTTATATATCTCATCTCAAAACAAGGTCCTGTTTTTCTAATCCTTAAAGTGCTTCATTGACAGAAAGTCTGCAGCATTTTTTAATCTATTTATTGGAGATTTGTTATACAAGTAATTTAAAGGGTAAAAGGAGAATAACAAAGCAGCCAAAATACAGCAGGAAAAAAATACAGCTTTAAAGGAACTTTCTAGAACTGAAATGTCTGAGGAACAGGGAAGAGAGAATGAAATCGGAAGAAAAAAATGGGGAAAAGCAAAAGACTGAATATCTGAAGATTAAGCAACCTATGAAGCATTTTTAGAAATTACTTAAGTATATTAGCTGACTTTTAGTAACTGACACTACACTTCTGCCTTTGGCTAAGAATTATTTAAGCACTAGAAGACCACATATGCCAAAGTACTTTTCACCTGGCAGATTTTGATCTTTTGGTTGCCTGTGGTTTTGCTCTCAGTGCTTCCTGAGTCATATAACTTTAAATAAAGCAATAAACTGAAGTGCTTTACATGGGCTGGTGACCTGGTTTCAGCAGGGATAGAGTTAATTTCCTTCCTAGTAGCTGGTACAGTGCTGTGGTTTGGATTTAGGATGAGAACAATGTTGATAACACACCGATGTTTTAGTTGTTGCTGAGTAGTGCTTACACTAGTCAAGGACTTTTCAGCTTCCCATGCTCT